GCACCCCTGATCACCGTCGTCTTCTTACAGTGCTAAGGGCTGGAGCATGCAGAGCACACCCCACTTAGGAGGCTCAAGAAAGGGAGGAGGAAGCCAGGAGACTAAAGACAGAGCTGGAAGCTGAAACTGTCTTTCCTTTCTATCCATCTTTATTAAAAGTTGGGTGAGTTCAGACCATAAGCAGATGAGAATAGCTCATGTCACCTGTGCAGCCATACAGCCTTAACTGCAGAAGAGAGAAAAAAGGAGCCTGTCTGTCCTTTTTTAACAGCAAAACAGGGCAAGCTGGGTACTACTCAGAGGCTGGCAGAGTATGAACCCCATCTGCACTCTCTGCCCTTGCTACCAGTACGGTCCTCTGCTAAGAATACAGCACCAGTGCACATCTGCTCCCTGCCTCCACAGCTGGTCCCATTCTGAAACCTCAGTGCAGCCTCATGTGGCTCCCAACCACACACCCCATATATTAGTAGTCTGGGAGGTGCATCTCCCCTCAGCCTGTCATCTCTGGGCAGGGGGAAGGGCAAAATTAATTTATGTCTGTACGAGCCCTGTACATACATCTTCTCTCTAAGGGAGTTTGCTCTCATATTTAACCTCTTCAGCCTGCTGGCACTGGAGGCGGATGATGCAGTTTGTAGAGAGGTGCAGGCACTTCACTCTCCCCCTCCCCGTGGAATCCTCCTCTCACTTGTGGTCCTTGGGATTCACCCAATGTTTCTCAGAAAAAAAAGAGGACCTCAAGACAAGTATGCATTTAATAAGCAGTGAGACAAATAAGCTCCAGTTATCCCAGCAGAATTACAACACCAGAGAACAATTTTCTGCATTCCTCCGAAGGCCTGAAGGAACCCAATTGCTTGCTCTCAGCCTAAATAGGTACCAGACACCAAGTGCTCCATAAGCAAACAGAGCCCCCAAAGTGCAAAAATGAAATAAGTAAAAAGCTTCACATTACATATAAACCAGCCGTTTGCACCTTGTTATTAATGGTCTTGGCTATGACCTTTAAACCCTGCCTTGCTCAGAGTCATGGATCTACGAGCCTTGGCACCCTCACAACAATTCCAGGACGAGAAGCAGGGAATAAACAAGCCTGGCCAGCGCCAGAAGAGATGCGGGAAGGGAACCCGCCTGTGACAAACCCAGACCGAGAACCACTCCAGTGCAGCAGCCAGGGGTAAGAGGTGACCATCTCCAGTAAGAATTTGTCAACATAACCTCAATGACCAGGGTTTCTGACAGCATGAAAAGTCCTGTTGCCACATATATGCATGCACAAAAGCTTGTAATGCATCTATTCCCAGTTTCAAGGGACGAAGGCCTGAGAGCATAATAAGTAACTGCAAGAGGGCTCATTCCCTAGAGCATAATTCCAATGTGGTTTATAAGCCCGCAGGAACTAGAGTTGCCTTGAGCAGACCCTGTTACCCAGAAATACTGATTCATCTAAACTGCCTCACTGCTGCTTCAAGAGTTTTATTATTACATTAGCGCAAATAGCCAGTGGGAAGTTCTACCCCTTGAAAGCTGTTCAGTACAAAGTCCCCACCCTCTAGAGGAGACGACCCTGCAACACAAGTAGCTGGAAGGTGCTCTGGAGGCACCCACATGCTTGGCTTGTTCTTGCATCCTTTCCTGGGCAGCTGGTACTGGCCACTGCAGACCTCTGGCAGCACCCACTGTCCCGTCACGATACACTGGATTGAAACGCTCCTGCGTGTAGACAGCAGGCACTCTTCCAAACGGATGAACTCCTCAGATAAAGTAGGTATACAAGAACAGTACACCCAACGGACATGTCAGGCTCAAAGGATTAGTGTGTCTAAATGACATCAAGCCAATAGCATTTAGGTATTAACGCCCAAATACTTCATTTAAAGTCAGACAACAGGAGAAAGTTCTGCTTCAATAACAAGATAACAAATTACGCTTGTGTGATCTCTCCAGATGCATATGCAATAAAAGCCCTGATCCACAAACATCTTCAGACACTTTTCATTAAAATCAGTGGTAAGATAGGGCAAATCCACACCAGAATTTAGTTGTCTAACTGCCTCACAAACAATAGCTTTACTATCTGTAATAAAACTTGCCTCTTTCCTTCTCTTCCTGTCCTTTTTGGAGATTACTTCTGGAAAAAGAGGTTGGTGGGAAGACATGTAGCATTCCTCTGTCTGGACATTCTGATCAAAAGCTAATCTGTCATGACATGGTGAGACACTGCGAGCAACAAAAAACACCCCAACAAACCAAACCCACTCCAAACGCAAATCCTGCCTAAATGAATCAAAGAGACTATAATTACTGTGGTTTACAAATACTCTTATTAGCACCAGGTATATAAATAAATGCTGATTTTCAAGTTCCGTGACTTTTACTGGCTACTCTGAATGAAATGAAAATTTGAGAAGTCTACTAACATTACATGCAGCCTCGTGGAAAGGCTTTTGCCACCCCAATGGCTATAAGGTCACCCTAGCGCACATTCCAGGGAAATGGCAACAATCAATGCTTATCTGCCCGGATTCATAACTGCCTGTTTTTTTATATACATGTACACATATGCATGCAACTTAACTGCATGTGGACTGATGTGGTACTACTATGGTATGGATCAGATGGTAAGTCCCTGCTCCTACATGGCAAAGGAATGTTCCTATAAAGCATGAACAATCCTGCTAGGAAATCACACAGAGAGCTCATCCTTCCTCAAGAATTACTGGCACTTCTAGAGAGACAGGAAGATTTTCATTACATAGCCTGTTGCCAGCTATACTTTCAGCATAAGCCCATCCCCTTTCTGTTACTGTTATGTCAGGGGAGGACAGTGAAAGAAAGCAGCTCTTGGGATGATACATGGGAGGCAGTGCTTCATTTATAACCCCACACAAATGCTGGAAAATGTTCAACTTTAAAAAGCATTAGGTTGGTTACCTTACGGGCCCCTGCAGACCACAAAGTGAAATTACATGAACACAACATACCTATTAATCATTACAATGATTCCACAGCGAGAAACAGCTCCAGTGGCATACATTCAACTGGAAAGGAAGTTGAGAAAATTACCTACTAGTAGTTAGGCAACTCAAAATTATTTGGTAGTACCTCTCTGTAGGGCTCCCCTCTTGACTCCTCAATGAATTCAAGTATTTAACTTGGATTAAAGCCCAGTCAGTAGAAACATACAGTGGAGAGTAACAATGGGATTTCTACCTAAACATGTGTGTTTCCTCTCAGCCAGTTACAAACAAGCTACACTTCTATGAAATGCATAGGTGTCCATCTGCTTCATAGTCCTTTGCTTACAAGGTAAAGAAGGATTTGGGAGGGGAGGGTGATCATCCTCAGTCTTCTGCATCAAGATAGATTATAGGTCAATTCAAATTGACGTGTAATTGATTGATTTAGGTATTATTTCAGAGAATAGAGTAGGCTACAGCAAGCTTCTTCCATCCAGGATTCAGAAACTAGAATAATTTACAACACCTTTGAAAGAAGTATTCAACCTCACAGCTTACATCAATCCTTCACAAAGATCAGTGAAGATTAAACATGTAAAATCTCCCTAGTTATTATGGGTAGGTATACATGTTTACCTGTAGAATGTAAGATGATGAACAACTTTTCCTGTGCTCAGAATTAGCATTTATCCACAAGGCTGTGCTATTTTTATCATTTCCACTTTTAAGAAGCCTTGGCTAACATGACTCTGCTTCCGCAATACGGAGCGGCAGACCCGAATGTGAAAAAGTAGACATTTTCTCTAATGGGGAAGAGTGGAAATGGAGGTCACACCAATAACTTCAAACAACCTGGCGGCCGCAGCCATCTTTGCACCTCTGCAGTAAACAAACTGTTGTGGCTGGTCCGTATATAAAGCAATTTCTTTGAAGAGTGCTCCACATCTCAGTTCTCTTCAAGTTTTGCTATCAACAATGATAGTACTTTGGACTGACACTTGAAAGTTCAGGTCTCCCAGAAAGACTCCCATGCAGATATCACAACCATTTTTGGCAGTTTCAGAAACCATACCATCCTTCAAGGCAAAGGCAAATTTAAATCTAAAGTAACAACATGAAATAAAGGAGTTTATGCTACAATTTCCTTGCGTAATGCAAGCTTATAGGATACAGAAGAAAAATCTTTGTTTGCACACCATAATCTGTATTAAACAGATGCTTAAGAAGTCAACAAATTCAACGTGTTAAGAAGCAACCTTTTAATAAAGCAGAACCATACTTTGCTGTTAACATGCATTTTGAAAAAGGCTTATAAAATTAAATCTAAGCCAATTATCTGGTGCATCTGCAAGTAAGAAAGAAGTGTCAATACTCCAAACATCTGCTTAGTTTGTGTCCTCTCCTTTCTTACAGAGGAAGTATGAGCTTCCGGTTGTACAAAGTGATTAAGATATTGCTCAACAAAAACCTATTTCCTTAGATGATTACAAACTAAGGCCAAAGAAGAAATCCATACATTAAGCACCGTTACTAGCATGGAAGCCTGTCAAAAATACCAGTTCGAATAGCACAGCTTTTGTTCTTGCCCCCTCCACATCTAGGGGTCAGCTAACCACCAGGGGTGAGGCTCCCAAAAACAATGAAATCGAACCATCAGGGAAAGTACGTTCCAGTCACACTGGAGTCAGCCGATGCCAGAGACTGGACAGCAGGAGGACCTTGATGTTTTCCATAATGAAGCTGAGGGGTGAAAGAAGAGTCCCAAAACACTGGAAGAGACAGAAAACAACAACAAAAATATCTCAGTTTCAAAGCCAACGTCCTTTTACAGGCTCGAGGTATAAACAAAAAAAACACCCTGTATCTTTCCCTCAAGGCAACAGAGCTATGATCCCCTCAATGTTGATGACATGAAATAGGCTTGTAGTAAATATGAAATACTTAGCCAAGACACACAAAAAAAACAAAGGGAAAACCCTCTGGAAGCCACAGCTCCAGCCTTGTCCACTCACCCCCTGCGCCCCTGGCACGGTCCACTCAGCTGGAGGCCAGAACACTGGGAGCACTCACAGGCCACAGCACCCGCAGCACCTAGGCGGAAGCAGGAGGGGTTAGGACGGCGTTTCTCTGTGCTACAACTCTTCCAGCTGCTCTGAGCACTGCGCCTTCAGCCTTGAACAGACTGAGGAAGAGAGTAGCGTATTTTCTGGGGTATTCAGGCATGGATTATTTATAGGTCATAGATTCAAAACGTGTGAAAACTGAACAGATCATCTACCAAGACTGGCCCGTGCTTCCAGACAGCATCCATATTCTAGATGCCATCTAAACAGTTCCAGAAATAAAGATTAGGCTAAAATGAATGGTGCAAACTCCCCTGCACCTTCTCAACCCATCCCCCAAATATTCTGCTGGGACTTGTGTTATCCTCGTACAAACTCTCTTTTCACAAGGCAGCAATGACAGGACTCATTTACTTGGAGGGGTTTTACTTTGGCCCTCCTGGCTTATATCATAACCTCAAATATTACATTAAAAAGGCTTTTAAAACATAACATTCACATCAGCGCAGGAGCTTTTCATTGCAGCTAGCTTCTTCCCTACCCGTTTGCGTGTGGCACCTTCACATTAAGTGCACGAGTTAAGATGTAGATTAGCAAGGCAAGAAACCTTTGCCCTTGGCACCGACACTCAGCTGTGACAGGAAACTTCAGGCTTTTTTTCTACGAAGTGTAGAACCACTCATTACACATTGGCAGGGAAGTGCACATCTCCAAACTATACACATTTTCTCTTAGATAAGCAAAAGACTCAAGTGTTTATAAATATGAAAAGTTCAGCAGCTGGCTAAAAAGTTAATTCTCCAGTCTCACTTAATGAGCTTTGGGGAAAGTGGTAGGGGGATTTGTTCAGAAAGTAAAGCAGAGTGTCACAGAAAGCAGGACTTGCCAGACAGGGCTCTGTTTAGTCCTACTTTCTGTCTCTAGATGGCTGCTCTCAGCAAAATGGCAGAGAATCCTCTAACGGGGAGCTATGGAACAACCAAAATCAGAAATGTTTTCTCCTAATCTTGTAATCATAAAAATTAACCAATTTTTAATTAAAGTCCCATGACTTCATTCTTTGTTGTGAAAATATCAAGCAATCCATATCAAAACACTTTGCAACATGGACTGTCTTAGGATTTTGTCCAATTCCCTGAACAAGGAAGTTGTTTTCAGTAGGATTCATCAGGAACACTGCTGCAATATTTTTTCAGTACTAATACTGGTCTATTCCAGTAGCATAAGGTTCAAACTTAAAAAATGGGATTGATTTGCTTGGAAGGTAAGCATGTTGGTTGTTCTCGGGAACTTCTGAGAAGTCTATTTACAGTGCCTGCTGTCACTCTGCATCTCTAGTTTTCTTGAAGGCAGACCTCTCGGTGTCTTTGTAAGATACTACAGAAGAAATTGTGCAACATCACTTTTGCAAGATGATACATAGCTACCCAGTTCCCCACATATGTAATTATTAAAAATTGAAATTCATACTGAATGGAAAAATAATCAGACCCTTTTGTGTGCAGTTTCAACAGAAGTTGTTTGATGTAATAGAATATTTTTCAGCTTGCTCAGTGAACTGCATATATGATTGCCATCCCTTTTGCCTACCTCCTCCCTTCTGTCACTTACCGAAAAAATTCTGAACAGCAACTACTTAAGAAACAGAGCTGTCTATGATGCTCAAGAGCAGAGTGATTCTCCAAGAGATCAGAATCTAGCTGAAACCAACAGCAAGGCTGAGCTCTTACCCACCGACCGAACCTGCACTGGTACTGCAGGCGATACGGAGTGCTCCACCACTGCCTATTCCGCTGCCCTCACCTGCACTGACTCACACGGTATCTTCCATTAGCCAAAGAATATTAAAAGTCCGATTTCAATAGAACTAATAAGCCACAGTTGGCTCTAACTGGATCAGTAAACGCTAAGCACTTCTGCCAGCACGCTAGTGCCTGCAAACCCTTCCACCTGTGCAAGACAACGAAAATCCCTTTGGCGCCTGGTCCCAGGGCCAGGGAGCGCAGAGGCAGGACTGCGTCCCATTCCAGAGGGAGCTGACTCGCAGCCGGTGCCAGTGCTCAAGTCTCTGTTGATGGTGTATCACGCTGTATACATTGGAACTAGTGAACGCTTCATTGTGATTTTTGGCCACTTGGAATATTTTTAGCAATTTGCCAAGGCTTACCCTGTGATTTATTATGGAGGAAACAAACTCAAGCACTAACAAATGAAAATATGTAAACTCTGACTTTTCAAGTCAATAGAAAGGTATTCAACTTCTTAAAACGCTTTAGAGGCATGCAGTTCGCTGTAGATTCAATTGCTGGAAACAACAGTGGGATTAAGAAGCAACTGAAATGTAATCTAAGTAGTCATATTTAAGTCACTTAGAGATATATAGTGAAAAATTCCACATACATGATACTTTCAAATTGTGATTCCTAAAACTGTGTTCTAGATTTGTTGGAAATATATTTTGTATCACTTTTCCACTAATGCCAAAGCACTCCAGGTATCTATCATCTAGAACTTTATTATCTCAAATTGCTATTAAATAAGTTAAATCACAGTATCATGAAAAAATACTTGATGAAATACACAGGAAAAAAAAATTTAATTTAGAAAGCTTAAATCATTGGAATTACCTGCAGATATAACACTAGATACAGAAAATAATAATTGTTTTATTACAATATTCTTGGGTGGAGAGGTGGGTGTCATTAAAGAGAAGGTAAACTTCCATTTTCAGTATAAAAATCCAACTAGATGCTACTGCCACATACCTCCAGCACACAAGAGATAATGCTTTATAAAGTGTTAGCAGCCATCACAGCATTATCCATAGTTAAAATACTGAAGCAATCCTGAATGCTTCTGAAAACATCAGGAATAGGATCAAGAGTACAATAATCAATTAAAATAAGGAAGAATATTAATCATTAGAGTATGACTGGGAGTTAATGTTAATTCTACCTGAAATAGCAGAATACTGTAAGATGGTATTTACTTCTCAGCTGTCAATCTCAAGAGGATAATACAGAATTCACTACTTTTCTGTTTATCTCAATATACAGTTTGCACTTTTGCCAGTATTCAGCTAGCACACTGAGTGGCAAGAACCCCTTTGTCTGTGCCTGCCACCACTGTGACTTACTTCTTGATCATCTTTTCAGCTGAACGGACACTCTCTATCCTTTCCTATAGAAAATAAGTGATATAAACACACTGCCAAATGACCAAACCCTGGGATTTTTTTCCCCGCATTTAGACATGTCACTTGACATTCAAAATGCCATTGTGCAAAGCCAACTAACTCGTACAAAGTCTTTTTTTGGTTCAAGAAACCCAGCAGAGAACTTCACCAAGCAATTCTTTGTTAGCATAACATTTGACCTTGTATCTCTTTGGAAATCATACAAGTTTGCTAATGCAGTCCTTACAGAATTAATCAAGCAGATAGTTAGACCCTAGTTACTATGAACCCAGCCAATTATGAGCAGCACTGAAATTTGTCACTGGCATGTCCAACTACATTTTCCAACATAAAGATCAACAGAACTGTGTGGAAATGAGGCCCCACTCTCAGACCTGCATGACTTGGACATTGTAGCCTAGAATCGCTAGCAAGGCCAATGCTTTTAGGAACAAAGTATTCTCAAGAAAAAAGGCATACCTCCTGGATCTCCATTACCTGCTGCATTAAAACAGCAAGAAAGCGTAACACCTTTCACCCTGTATTTTGACTAGTAAAGCTAGAATAAAGGAGTCATTGAGAGTTCAGAACTCTTTATTTGTGACTCCGCTCTACTGCATGAGATCCACAGTTCAATGAAGGCCAAATACACCACATGGCTTAGTTTCAGGGGGAAGCTGCCTAAGCAGTTTCTCCTTCTGTCAAAGTAACACAGCACAGCTTTAAGAGTCCAGGGAATGATGACAGGGTACAGCCAGCAGTTAACAGAAAAGCAAGGAAAAGATACCCTAAAAAGAGCAGGACAAAGAGGGAGAAAGGAGACAGGCACAGAAGACACCTATAGGAGACATATTGAGATATATTTGAAGCAGCACAGATTAGAAATGTATCTAGCTAAAAGCCTGATTGCCATTGTCAAGTCCAATTTCTATCCTTGAACAGGTACTCAAGTGACAGAACTGTGGCCACTGAACACATTCTCCATCTAATAATTGGAACCAGATGAGATATAAAACCATTGGTCTAGTTCCCAAAAGGTAAGTGACAGCTAACTAGCTTCCGAACCCGGCCTGGAAGTTAACAGTTACTTTACCTCTGTTCTCTTCTGTTCCATTCACATCATGCTACTTCTTTCCAATGCTCAGCAAGGGACCTGTTTTTCCTGCAGTCCAGGCTGCCTTTTACTCACTTCTCAAAATCTCCAGTCAATAAATTTATATTTTGAGGCTCTCATACTGGAGTCTCCCACTTCCATGAGAATAAAATCAGTGCTCTGTGGCAAAACTTCTCTGGTGTTGAAATGCTGCTCTTTCACCATAAGAGTGCAAATTAAAGCCATGGTATGTTATAGTAATAGGCCACCTTCTTGTCAAAATAGACATTTTGCCCAAATTTCAACAAGTGTTTTGTACTAAGCTAGTCAGTGACAAAGGAGATAAAATAATTCATGCCCGACAGGCATGAGACTGACTAGAGCCTGCTTCACCATGGATCTCAAAACTCCCAAAGATCCCACAAGTTACCTAAGCAAGCCCCATGATAGAGACAATACTTACGGCTTTAGCAAAAATGACCATCAGCTCAGGGAACTGGTGCGTGAGGAGGGCAAGCATTGCCGAAAAGGAACATAGGCCTGCTGTGAAATGGATGAAAAAGGGAAGTTCCTTCTGTGGGTAAACGGAGACTTCGTGAAATGCTGAAAGGAAAAAATGAAGAATATTGACATTTTATAATCGAGGACAGTGTTCCGAATCATTTACGCAGTCTTGTAACTCAGTTCTAGACTTTCAGAAGGAGTAAGTGTGGACACAAGACTACTGTGCAGCACATGTTTCTCAAAAATTGTTCCCCTACGTTAAATGCTTGTCATCATTATTAACAGTCATTACATCTTTCTCTTCGCAATCTTCTTTTTCACTTGTATGGGCTTCATTTTTGAAGCATTTCATGAGGCTTAGTTTTTGGCACCTATTCTTTTAACAGGACACAGGGAGGAACCGTAAAATTCAGAAGCTGTCAAAATTACCTAGACCAGCTTAAACCATTCAGGTGTTTTCAACCCTTCAAAGCATCAATCCCATTATCTGAAGAGAACAGCACATCTCCATACCCTGTAAGAAACTCAGCAAGTAACAAAACAACCATCATGCTATATGTACATGCAAGGTAGCTCCTTAATTCTTTTCAAAGATTTCTTGTTGGTAGGCTACAGTAAATTTTTTCAGAGCAGCTGACAGAATAGACCTCAAAGAAAACAGTACCATGACTAGGTTATAAATTCTGTATGTAGCAGCTCCTTGCAATTTCCAATCTGTGGTAACAAAATCAAAAGAAGGTAATTAGACAGGCTAAGGGCTGGCATATGGAGCTTTCAGCACTCAAGACACTACTACTGGTTACCAGCCGAGGACCCGTTTGGTGATTTGCAATTACTTACTGGCTCTGAATACCTGCAGCTCTGACTTTTATCGAATGATTTGAAAGAGTTTTCAAATGAAGAAAAAAATAGTTTCTATAGACACAAGCAATTATGAAAGGGCTGCACACTTTAACAAAAGCCTCAAAAAGTAAGCAAGCGTTTTCATGAAACAAGAAAATACAGTCATATTAATTTTTAATATCTCTACACTTTTTTAAAGTCTGAGCGGAAGAAAGACACTTTACCCTTCTAGTTACTGTTTCTGAATGCTGGCACACGAAAGCTACCATTATAAGAGCAAGCCCAGCAAAAGTGGCTTGTGCTGTTGCAACTCATTAATGGCAAAATGCTTGTGTTTTGTTTTGCTTTTAAGTATATGATTTTGGAGCATAACTAAGTGGAAGTTTTGGAGTTCTGTGTCTAACACCCCTTTGACATGTTTAATGTTATACCATAGATTATGATAGTAACACACTCCCAAGCAACCAAAGAAACCACTTGTCTACCATGGAACAGTTACACTCTCATGCTATGTAGAAACTCACCTGATTTTTAAAACATGGAGCAATACAATTTAGGAAAGGTCCCAACTTAAGTTAGGAAAGTGTGGAGTTCTGTGTCTAACACCCCTTTGACATGTTTAATGTTATACCATAGATTATGATAGTAACACACTCCCAAGCAACCAAAGAAACCACTTGTCTACCATGGAACAGTTACACTCTCATGCTATGTAGAAACTCACCTGATTTTTAAAACATGGAGCAATACAATTTAGGAAAGGTCCCAACTTAAGTTAGGAAAGTGTAAAAAAAAAAAAAAAAAGGAAGGATTCTTTTTGCGCTAGTTTTTCCCTACTATAAAATCTGACATAGATACGGACAACCAAAGATAATTCTATACATTGATAGCCATTTGAGAATTGTTACTAGTCAGACTAATGCAGGAATTTTGAATCATTAATTTGGTCAACATTATTTTAAACAGATAAATTAAAAAAAATTAAGTGTCAAGATTTCTTGACGAAGTACTGCAATAAAAGTGTTAAGATTATTTTATTTATGGGTAGTTTTATATTTAAAACATAACAGGAATGCGTGAGTGATCGTGTTGAAATATCTGCATGTGTTGGTGTTTAATTATGCTGGGAAGTCTACAATTTAGGGTTAGTTGCTAACCAAGGAATTCCTTGTGCAATATCCTGCATAAGTGAGAAATGAGTAATTTAAAGCAGCCTGGGGGCAAATTTAAATTACACATTTTAAATATAACTCCAGGCTTTTAAATAGAAACACGTATATATAGTTTTCCTTTCCACAGCTGTGGTCTCAATGGGTCTGTGGGTGCTTTTGCAGTAGCCCTTTCCAGTCCCATGGGATTTGCGTTTCTTCACGATGTAGAAGTTCACCCCCAAAGGAATTCTATTAACATGTACAATTAAAAGTCCAATTCTAATCTAAATTGATGCTATCTCCCTAAATATGATGAGCATGGGCCCTAATGATTTAGTTTGTCTTACCCAAAGAAAAAAACATGTAGTCTCATAATTGCATAAAGTAATCTTGAAGAAACAGGCAGCTAGAGAAGACTTAGTTTTCAGCGTCAAGTGTTAGTATAAATCCATAGAAATACCCACATGGGCAAAAAGTTCCAGGAAGCATACTGTCCAGCAGACAAATACGTACTGATGAATTAATGACAGAAAGCAATACATATTCTATGAAGCTATAGATTAATCAAGGATTCTCTGTAAGATCACAGACAGGTTCTGCTAGATACCTGAATGCAGGACTGGAACCATACATTTACTCCTTGCTAAAAGGGAACAGCTCCTCTACAACAGTAGTCAAATCCGTGACTTCTTTTAAAAGAAGACGTAATTTAAGGAATTGGTCCATTTTGTTGTTCTCAAAGTTGGCCAAACTTAGCCTGAATGTACCACACACAGACTTCATCTTTGAAGGACTTATGTTGTTACAGAATCAAGCTAACATTTACCACACATACACGTCAAGTGCTTCAGGATCATTTGGGAGGGATATCAACAAATAGCTGAATACCCTTCACAGGAAGCTCAAACTAAAAAAAAAAAAATCACAGTAAGGTAAATACAGAATACCACAAACTGAACAAGTCCTTAGCTTATGTTTTATTATTATTACTGCTTAGAAACCACTTACTTGGCAACAGTTCTCTGTCTGCTGTTTCTGTGCAACTCGGATAGGGATAGAAAAGATGACCTTTCTCTAACGGGTACGGGATCATCCTAAATGCTGAAAAAAGAGTGAGTGACATTAGATCTCTATCTAAACCAAGCGACCAGCTTCTCACAAAGACAACCAATCACGTTGGAGGTGAATAAAGGCAGAGAGATTAGTCAACTGTACAAAAAGAAAATAAAACAAGAAGAGATACTTACTGCCTTCCCATGTACAGTGCAGCAGATTCAGAGCCCCTTCTATCCTCTTCCAGTGTTGGAGGTGAAAAAATGCATATGCTACTGCCTCACTGTCCCCTCGTTTCAGAATATGCTCCGGAGGTAGCACTAAGCTTTTCATTTCTAGTAAATACTGAAAGTAAAAACAGAAAGCATGCTTGGTTACATGGAATATTCCAAAAACTTTAATTGTGAAACATAAATGATCATTTGAGGCATAGCTGAGCATATCACACAGAGGCCAGTTTCCACCTGTTGAAGAAACAGCCCAGTCCTGACACAGTGCATACAGCCTACACTCACATGGGAGTGAAAAGCAGCAAAACACACATCCATGTACAAGGCTCTTAAATTGGGGTTTTCACACACTAAGTATCAGGGAAAAATAAGCATCTTCAGTACGGCAAAATAAAAATACATTCTTGTGGAATATACATAAAGTGTAACGCTGCAGGTACAATATCAGTGAGCTACATGTTTGGGCTAATAAAAACTCAAACAATGGTATTTTTGCTCATCATTTAATCACTAAAAGTTTCAACATAGGAGGGTAAGTACTTGTTAGCTCTCTAGTATGAGTATCAAACCAGAAAGTGTCAGTATGCTAACCAAAGGAAGAATAATAAAGCAAACCCAGGAAAATCTTCTTTTAATGTGGTTTTGCTGGACTAGCACAAAGTGTCTCTGATTTCAATTTTTTCGGTTTCAGCCTTCTCCCTACATCAGCAGAGTATGTGATGCACAGAAGGGTCAAAGAACACAAGGATTAATTGTTTTCTATTTCCCTTGAAACACACGACATGCAGTTTTGTTTTCTGATGGTATATTAAAAAAAGACAGGTATTCATTTGAACTTAGCTTTTAAAAACAGATGAGTAATTTTTACAAGAATGAAATGACAGTTTCAGCTCTAGTATTTACCTGTGAGTTGTTCTCTCCTAGCATATAGTGTCTCCTTCAATAACAGCCAAAGTTAATCCACATCTTTGATCAATGTAGCTGGCAATTCCTTTGACTGTCTCCTAAAGTGTAAGAATGCAGCTAACTCACCGATTTATTTCAGCAGATGCCACAAACTATGAGATTATTTACTAATCCAGTTTGAGGACTTAACTTTTCCCATTCAGATTCTTGAAGGAATGTAGGAGGGGTTGTGCCCCAGCCAAATAAAGCACATTTACTGCCTGGCTAGGTTCTTCTCTTAGTGCCTTGGGCCTACACTCTGGAGGGTAATATTCTTGCTAATCCTCTCTAATCCTCTCAAATTTTTTTTTTTTTTTTTATTTTTTGTTAAAAACACAGTAAAGGATCACTCACACCGGGCTGCTGTGGGAAAATGGTCTCAAGTACCTGACCCTTGACCTGACTCCTCATGCTCTCCACAGTGCCCACTTTTCCACTGTACTAACTGCACCAAAAGCAAGGGAATATAAACGCAGCAGTGGCGATGAAGCCCCACCGCAAGCAGTGCCACGACATGCCAATGGTGAACTCCACGCTTTGCCTGTCTCTGTGCCCATGTTACCACACAAACGGAAAAATCCTACAGTCCCGTAGGTTTTCAGGTCCATCTTTAACTGTAAGACAGGCAAGGTATCAGTACTGAAAAGATCTTGGATTTTGCAGATTTAAGAAGATCTTTCCACACAATAAAAATGTGTAAGCTATTCAGAAGATGATGGGAAAAGACTGTTTCATACATTACCAAAATGTAGTTACAGATCTCTAATGTGAAATGGCTTAAGAGTACCAGTTTTCTAGCATTGTAAAATGCCTTCCTAACTTTCCCAACAAAACCCATCCTTGTAAAAGCATAACTCAGAACAAAGAGAAACAAACATTATTTTAGCTTCCTTATGCAAAATGATGTTATGTGCAAAGACAACCACTTCCATCAGTTGTGAGAACAAAGGGATTTCTACTTTACATACTCATATATTTTTAGTTCATGGGACAGAACAGACTGCAAATTCAAAAACCAGATTTTCTTCCCCATTAGTCCACTGTAACCCATTGGGCAAGTCACTTCACTTGTTTGTGCCCTTGTTCACTTGTTTGCGCCCTTGTTCACTTGTTTGCTTTGACTATGAGCATTTCAGAGCTCTAGACAGCCAGCACAAATAAAATTCTGCCCTACCACCTAATAAATTGATGTTTCAAGGCAATATTGCAATTAAAAAAAAAATCAGTGAGAAGGCTGGATAGGTATACAATTAGAAGAGAAGATCAAATTACTGAAACCTGGAATCAGTTTCTGTAATTGTCTGTAGAACTACGGAACATATTTTGCTAACAGCCTGTTTGAAATAATATCCAACTTCTTTAAAAAGGTATATGAGGCTCCTGAAACAACTGGGGGATATACAAATAAAAGAACTTTTAGATAATGATAATGCGTTATAATCTTCTCCCCCTGAAGGCAGAGGCTAAAGCAAAATCTGTCTGAGACTGTCTGAAATGAACTTGCTACGCTCTTGATCAGTCATGCAAACAAGCACCAATTTCTCCGAGCAATTAGCTTTCTCAGTGCACATTCTATTAGATTGGACAGGCAGACAGAATAGAGCGGCTGGATAATTCGAGCCTTCTCAGCAATAGTCAGTCGGACTCCATGATCATTTGCAGAGGATTAGGTCCAGGACTAAACCAACCTTCTGCATTCAAGGTTTCAAACTGAATGCATCACCAATACTAGTACAGTGAAAATCAACATAAAATTTTATTTTTACCCTATGCTCACTGGAATCCATACCTTGGCCACTTCAAGTAATGCCAGATATTAAACTACTGTAGCAACACTGACTCTTAGTCTTGCTTTACATGTGGATGAAGAAAATAAGTGACTGTAGATCTTTCAATAGCCAGAGTTCTGGAGCTATGCTTGGAAGCACACCAGAAAAAGGTATTTTGAAATGCTGTGAGTGCTTATTGTTTTGTGAACTTAATTTGGCTTCAGGGATTTTAAATATCCAAATCTGTATTTATTAATGCTTATCCAACAAAGGCCCTTCATTAATACATCACTGGATTTTTCCAACGAGACAGAAAATTCCAAGTTTAAATTTTTGCAAAAAACCCTGTTTGATCATCACCTATTGCAAACAACTAATTCTGGCCACCAAACATTTATGATATAAATACTAGCATGTTTAACAACTCATTGACCAGAGTTATAGCCAACTTCAAGAAAACATCGGGCTAGAAAGGCTCCAATAACAAGATATCATAACATGACTTTTTTCAGAAGACAATAAAAAGTGGTCCAATAGGAAATTACCTTTGGAACATGAGGGTTAAATTCCACAGCTCTGTGAATTGCTTCCACAGCATTAATTTCTGCTGTACTGAGCCCTCTTTTGGAGGCAGTTTCTGGGGAGAACCTGAAGGGAAAAACCCATGCTGAACAAAAGTAATAAATGCTAACCAGGTGTTTATTTGCATTATAAGCTTCGAGTTCATTAAAAAGTGACTGATTTATCAAGACAGACAAACAAACCCTTCTAGGAGACAAATGTTCATGTTAATTTAGGTATCTTGACCATCATCCACACCCATACAACAAAGTTAAATGTAACTTTTTGAAACTTCATGTCAACCATGCAAAGTAATTGAGTGCCCAAGTCTTTCATAAGATTGTTACATCATCACCTACTGGAGGTAAAGCTAGAATCAGCTGTGCAGAGAAAGCAGAATGAAAGTGAAATGCCTGTGTGAACTACCACAAACATCTGCACTCAATCCATAAAACAAAGAACCATGAACGTAACAAGACACTGAAAACAAAATTTATACAAAAGCACGTAAGTGTACATGGGCTCTTGGAAAACATCTTCACCTGTATTAACTTTATGGATGCTTAAAAGAAACTTTAAGTTATAGTTAAATACACACATATATATGTATGTATACATTTCTAAGAGCAAGTTAAGTGTAGTTAATTGCTACATATTGGATTTAGACCTTTTTAATTCATATTTTACAGCATAACCCAAGATTAGCAACAAACTACTGTTTTCATAGATGTGCTTGCTCACCTTTCTGAAACAGCTCTGGCTTTTAACAGGGCTGCTGTGTAACATATTGCTGCCGATTTTGGAAGACTGATATCTAGGATAAAATAAAATAATTAAGCTGTAAGATTCTAAGGCAAGACAAACATTTTAAACCCACACCCTTTGAGCTTAAAGGTTTTTACTTGGGCAGACAACACATGTAACATCTGGAACATTTCAGCTATGATTAGAAACTTAATTTCTTTGCACAGTCTTCTTTCTGGTCACCAGTCAGGCTCAGATTAAAAAAAAAATATCAGAGTTGTAGTCAGGTGGTAAAGAGTAATTTTTCTTCTAAAGGTACCAAGACACTGAAACTGAATTCAAAGATAAATGCATGTATAAATAAACAATTAAGAACAGTGTACTTTTCCTGTATTAACTCATGAAGGTTTAAAATAAGCTTCTAATCTTTACCTAATTTTGCAACTGCACATTAACACAGAGTTTTACATAATACTGAGAGACTGACAAGAAACCGACCAAAAAAAATACACTAGAGACAGGTAGATAAATTTTAATAAAAATCCACTTTCCATTCTTTTCCAGTTCCATGGGGAAAAGCTTTATTAGTCGTAAGTTTTGTAGAATAACTGAGGCCAAGTTTGAGCTGACAATTATAGGTTAGAAAGTTAGCACTCCACAGTACAAGTTTACTTTAAAAGCAGACCAAGTCTGGGGTCTAATTCCCAAGTACCATGTTGCATATAGTCAGATGGCTCTTGCTGTTTTTTTAAATCCCATCCTGGGCTTGCCCATCACTTACTAGAAGTCTGGCTGACATGTCAAGCAAAACACAGGGGCACTACAGAGAGTTTGAAGCTCATACTCATTTTTCCAGATGCTTAGAAAAAAAATCAGCAACCCTTTCTTAAGAAAGCATTGCAGTTCCTGGTGTTAACATAAATAAGCACCAGGAAAAGAGCAAATGGTTTTGTTAAGTTAGTAAGAATTCACACAGAAGAACATGGACAGTGGAGTAACAGGAGCAGGCTTCTAAGGGTGGCCACGCACAAGAGGCACAGGATTTGGGCCAGAATATCATACTTTCTATTCCCTGAAGCAATAAAGAACAGAGACACAAGAGAGAACATACCGACTTCTCAAGGGCAGGGAACGATTGCCACAAAATACTGCTTCTACGTCCCTCCACTCTGAAAATGATTTAAGGGACAGCTTTGACAGCAGCACTTTGTACACTAATGATGTGGGCATTATCTAGGTGGCAAAACTCTGAGGACAATAAGAAAGTAAGTATATATTTTATTAACCTTTATCTAGACTTGCACAACACCTGAAATGTAGTAGTTGAGATGGAAAGTGAAAGCAACCTGCCGCCACTTAATGGACCAAAGCTTGCATACCACTAATCTCTGACAAGCAACCTCAGCATTACAGAATCATGAGGCCAAGCCTGGAAGATGACAGAAGGGAGTATTACCTTTTCCATCCTATCTACATCAATTACTTGGGGGGCTACTTGGGGGACTATGTGCTGACTGAAAAAGGCTGATGAATTTAGGCATAACCAGGGATGTAGAAGAGAAAAAAATTAAAATAATCTTTGAATTGAAGAAAAGTGAGCTCAGATTTCTTTACAGATTAGAAGTCATTTTAAAAGATAAAAAGTAATCTGTATGCAATTCAGCTTGCGGAAATTTGACCTCATCATTCAAAAGAAAAAACTTGACTTGCACTCTGGAAGCATCTATTTGTTGCCAACGAAGGGAATCTAGTCAACTAGCTGAGATCATTGGTAGGACAGGCATTTTGGACAGGCATACCTCGCCCAGCTCACCTATACTCTTACACGAGACCACCAGTATTTCCCAACAGGCATCACTTACCATCATACTTTGCTAAAACTGCCTGGACATCTGCATAAGCCTGTAACTCCAGCAGTGCCTCCAGGAGGTTTTCATGAATATTTAGCATGCTGAGAAGTGGAAACTCTTTCATCAACTGCAAATTAGTAAAGAGAAATAAATTAAGCACATACAGAATTGCACTTGCATCCCTGAAATACTTAATAGAAATCAGTACAATAGTTTAAGCTTTTTCAGTGTTCCGTTCTTTCACAGTATTAGAAACTGGCATGTAAGCAGCATGAAAAGAATTGCATCATTTCTACCTTACTTTTTTCATGCATTCACCTACTGGTAAATAAGTATACTGAGGTTCATACAACATGCTCTCAACCAAATTTGCACAACTCCCACAAGTGAGTTGGTTTGGTCTGTAATATTTTCCTATGAAAAAAGAACTTATGATACACCTTGGGCAAGTGAAAGAAAAATTATGATGAAGTCTTAAGTTAGCTATTTTGACAAGTTAGTTGCTGAGTCACACATGAAGCAAAATGGACAACAGAACTGTGAACATATGACATAATATAATATAAAAATTTTAAACCTACGTGTAAGAACCAAAAAAACCTGTTCTCAAAAAAAAATCATGAATCATGATGTGCAAATCTCATTGGAAAATAATCTGATTAATTAAAATGCCTAGAAAGGAACTTTAAACCATCAGTTTGGACAATGTGACTGAAAACATCAGTTGTTCACTTTTTTACTTACATCTCTCATCATTTTTACTGCTTCTCGTATTCTTCCAAGTTTTCTTGCGCACATAGCTAGTCTCCTTTTCACATATACCAACACATTGGTGTCTCTTCCTGATTGCAAAGACCAAAAAAAATTTGTCTATCAGTTTCAATCTTTACCTCTCCTTCCCTCTCTCTCTCAAAAAAACCACCAACCCAAAACACCACCACCAAAAAACCCATAACCTTTTTCCTAACCACATGTAAAAGCATAACATAATTACTACCGCTGTCCCAAACAATGCCGGCAACTTTTAACTAGGTTAAATGAAAAACAACAACAAAAAAAAAAAAATCTGTTTTTTCCAAAATGCTGGGTGGAATAAAAGGTGGCGATACTGACACACACTAATTGCTTCATTAGTCTGCTCTACCTATCAAGCTTTCCAAGACAATATGTGCCGAGCCTCAGCGAGACAACCCATGATGAATACACAGTGTAACTGCCACTTCCTAAGATTCATTCAGGTACTACAAAGGATCACAGAGCATGCCATGCATAAGCATGGCTAAAACAGCAGGAACTGCCTCACTGAATTGGGAATCAAACTAGAATCCCTAATTACAACTTTAGTTTTGCATTTCCGCTCACACAAAACCAAGAGTTTATGTGATCCAAAAGTCCTTACTCAGCTGTGCTTCGTGCTGGGGACTTTGGGAATGGCAGTTCTGAGACTTTCTGTAAATCATTTCTCCTGCTTTCAGAGCCTGCTTGAAATACTTCTCAGCATCTACAATAGTTGTTGCTTCTTCTTCAGCCAGGAGGACATATGCAGTGGCACAACTGTAGTAAGGAAAAACCCCACTAATTATTCTGAGGGACAAAGTTTAGTATTTTTTGAATAAGTGTTAAAAGCATTAGAAATGGGTGGTTTTCACTTATGTTTAATATCTAAGCATTGACAGTATTAAAGTAACAAAATATTGACTGGGGTTCAAATGGTAAGTGTCAGGAAAACAGAAACCTTTTCCATTTTGCAGAAAAAACAAACATTTGGAGAAAGCAAAGAAAGAATTGTAACAGCAAGTCAAATTATTTTCCTTGAAATGTTAAAAATGCTCTGGTAATTGTCAGGAAAGTTTTTTTTGTGTTTGGTTTGCTTTTTTAAAACCTGAAGTTAGACATTTTACACAAAAACAATGAGACTACATAACAAAATGGATCACAGAAGTGCATCAAAATTCTTTGGTTTGTGTTATAAGTGTATTTTTAAATCCCTTACAGGAATAGCATCTGTGAACTCCAAATACAGTATTACCATGATGCCATCTCAAACACATACAAACTCATATTCAAATTAGACTGTTCCACATCTGAATAAGATTTCTCACTTATTATTCCTACTAATAACAGATTTAAAAAAAAAAAAAAATCTTTTCCAAGAAAAAGGGAAAACCAAAGCTATTTTTTTATAGAACAGTGCAATACTTCAGTGCAACTGACAGCCCCATGTGCAATTCTCACAGTCCCCGAAGTCACCCTTAAGCTAAAAGTAAATTATTAGAACAAGAAACCAATAGTGTCCTCAATATCACTCCGCTTAGTCCTTCACACTAGAAATACAGCAATTGAGTTTATGCTCTAAACTTACTCATTGTTCAACTCTAAAGCTTGATATGCTGCTTTAATCCGGGCTTGAGGGTTTCTCTCTCGCCATGCTTTCTGCATAACTGTTGCAAAAACATCGAAAGGCTGGTGAGGGACAAAGACACTGGCAAAACACCTGGGAGCCAATGAAGGCAACACTGGCTGCTTATGCCTCAGCTCTACATTAACATTCACTGCCATTCTGCAAATTCCTATCTGCTATGTGATTGTTACAGGGAAGAGTAAACAAGCAGTTTAATTCCAGCATGAGTTTCTACCACAAGCAGCAGAATCTTGCAACTTCTCCTCATGCCTCAAACTTAACAAAGCAACATCACCAGGAAGATTCTTCACTGACCATTTAAAAACTCCTACACTGAGAAGCAAAGATAGCTTACAAAACCAGGCAGATGTACAATTTCTAAATTGTTACAGATTTTTGGAAACATTTCCAAATTTTCAACTTGTTGAAAACTTGGCAGGAGCAATTGTTAAACACAGGTTCTTGCATGGACCTGCACAGAAACTTAATTTAAGCTTTCAAACAGAACTTCAACAAAAAAAGTGAGAGAGTAAGCTGTGTCTTGCACAGGTATAGTTTCATACATAAGTATTTAGACAGATCATAAAGGGTTAAACAATTTCTTTTTAAATTTACAAAGCAGATTTGAGTGACATAACATGGCAAAGCCAATTCAAGATATGCTATAACAATTGTGATCACCTTATTAGAAAGTGTTCTAGGAAACAATTCAAAAGGATGAAAATCTATTCAAAAGATATCTATTACAACTTGAATTCAAAATTACAGTCAGATAAGGAGCAAACAAAGGTTCAATGCAGCGACTCTAAACCCCTCCCCACTATGCTTTCATTAGGGAAAAATGGAAGTCCCAAACTGAAAACCAACTTCTAGCAAAAGAAAAACATACTTAGAGCTACCATTTTCTATGCAGAACTAACAGCTTTCACACCAAATAACAGTTCTGAAAGAACTCCAAAACCTTACATTCATGGAGTTACATATCTGGCCTATCTCAAGTACGATAAGAAAACTGAAGAATCTATACATGTTTCTTTTGGAACAAAACCTTCTGCTGTGCAGCAAGAATAACGTGGAAAAATGTTTGAGTTTTCTTTTGGAAACAAAATATTAGTCTTGGCTTAGTAAGCGAGACAATACACTCCATTTTGTGAAACAAAAACACATCATTCATATCAAGCATGTCACAGCCAGTTGACAAGTAACGCTTCCGGAACTTGACAAATTGACAATAGTTCACACCCAGTCTGACAATAACCAGGTAGAGAATATTTTCTGTACTGAACATGTGGAACATAACGAAAAAATTCTGGAGACTGCACTATTCATTACTAAGATTTAAATGAGATCACATCTTTGGTTGCTGAGAATACAATCCAGGTTTTCAATATTGCGTTGTTAATTATTTGAAAACTGTGAGATCTTAAAGTGTCAGGATCCTGACAGCCTTCAACTCAGTAGAGAAAGCAGAAGGTAAAAAAAAAAAAATCTTTTCACTAAATACATCTATAAAACCTCCTTAGTAGTTGAGAAAGGCTATCATTTCACAAAGTATGTTACATAATAGCTTGCACTACCTTGAAGTACATTAAAAATACCCACTTTACACTCTCCAACAGTTATATACCTTATGCATATGTAATTGGTACCTGTATCTGAAGGCCGAAGGGCATCTGTATCACATGTGAAAAAGTTTTGATGATCTTGAGCAGACAAATTCATGTCATAGTATGTAAGAGGCTCCTTCCCAGTCACCCACATGTATCTTTAAAGGGAGAAATTTCAGTAAGTGGCACTCCTAGTAAATAGTAATGCCGATACCAAGAGGGATATCCGATGTGCCTAACAATAGAAGCTAAAAATTTATTAATAAAAGGCTGGAGCTACTATCCAGAAGTTTTCAAGTACTGCTGTTCCATAATCTGTACAGGTTGCCAGAAAGCTTCCTGCAGAAGGGAAAAGTCTTTTTGATCCTCAAGTTCTGAACAACTTGGGAACTGGCTTCCTAGGAAGCAGCTTTTCTTATGAAATAACACGAGGAGACTTACAGTACAGCCAATCAGTTTAATAAAAGAGAATTTAGATTCAGAATCACTGTCTCAACCTCTGAATAAAGTTTTTCTTCTACTTCACTCTCAAAAAACCTGATGATGTTACAGTAACATTTGCATTCCTAACATTGAAACTGCCAAAGTTTGGACAGGTGCCTTTTAAATCCAGGACTGGCATCAATCATCCCTATAATCTTGCAGGTCTCAGCTGTGTCCTGATATTGCTCTATGAAGAAACCCTGTGTATGCCCCAGTTAATTTTAAAAATATGCAATGGAAAGTAAGACAATTAATACCTGCTATACTCTGCCCCTCTGAAAAGATTGAGAGGATTTCGCCACACTTTGCACTCTGGGGGGGAAAAAAAAAGTACTTTTTGAATTAAGAGCACAGGAAATACTACCTTGACTTTAAAATGTAGTAATGTAAATGCACTTTTCCTTTCAAGCTTCTTTAATTTTATTGTTACACAACCTGAGCACAATCATATGATCTTCTTCATCAACATCTGCTATTGCATAAATATTTTTGCTCCCCAGCATTGCTGGGGCACAAAAGCACTTGGTGGTGCCATTTACAGTCACACAACGTTTACCTTGCACATAGTCAAAATAGTAAATATCTAATGTTACTGAAAACAGTTTTAGCCAGATGTGTAATGTATTTTCTAAATCACATTTTTAACAATGAATGTTTTAGATCAAGGACACATTATTATTTAGTTTATTTTTAGCATTATTAATAAAACGCATTATAAGATGTAGGCATTTCTCCAGTTCTTACAAGAACTAATGCAGAGACAAAGCCATTTAAAAGCCAGCTCATGTGAGCGAGCCGCCTTGAAACTTAAGGAAAGCTGCTAGCACAAATGAACAATCACCTGGCATATTCTGCCTGCTTGTCTCATTCTCTCCAGCAGAGAATGCTGCTGGTGCTGGAGAGCCGTTTTCTGCGCCGCCGATGAGGGGCCTCAGGTGACTCACAGAAACCTGCTCAATGAAAGATGTGCCGTATTTTCGGAAATGCCACCACTCAAACACCTGTCAGAGGAGAAAAAAGCACCAGGAATTTCTTGGGGCGACACCCTTCCAACAGAAACATCAGAGATGAAGCGCCAATTGTTCACAGGTAGTACCTCCCCTTGCAATTGACTACAGATGGAACTTATCTACATACAAATTAACACTAATTATCTCTTTTGGCCTGTCTTGTCATGCAGGATCATTCACATAGCATGAAAGAGACTGAAAAAATCCCAGTAAAATTTTAGTCAAACACATGTTCCTCCCTCCCCAAGTCATTAGGATAACTTCTAAACCCTTTCAGAAAAGTGCCTGTATAGGGAAACTGTGCATAGAGGCAAGCACCTCAAGACAGGTGTAATTTTTCATTTCCTTAATAATCTAAAAGAATAAAGCACAAAATGGACAGTTTAACTGACATGTTCATTGAGAAACTGACATGTCCATTCAGAAAAGTCCAAAGCAAAAAGAATGAATTAACAGCGATCAAGTTCACTTTACCAGAAATTTTGGGTCAAAAACATTACCATCTCTCTCTCTGAAGCTATTAAAAATATCTGCATATCACAAGTCCTCAAACACTACACCATACTGTCAGCCCTGGACCAGCTTAGCTCAGTACTTTCATTAACACACAGCAAGACATGATGTTAAGACAAACTGTATTCTTTGTTAAGAAGCATCACTATAAATAGTGGCTGACCAATTACCACTTTTTTCTCTTAAGAGCAGACCTATGTAAAAGACCTGTCACAATGAGAAACCACCTCCTCGTATGACTTTCCTCAAAATCCTTCATTCAAAACCCAAGCAACATTCCTTAGAGCAAACAAGTTGTTTCTTCTACATAAATGAGACGCTTCTTTTCTTTTTAAATGGTGGCTACAAAAAAAGAACCTATGAAAAATCTATGAGACAGATTTTGCACATTCTGGTAAATAGGTTCAATTGATGAGAAGAGACATTTTCTTTAGCTTTTAATACTGACAAGAAAGATTAATCCAAAAGATTTGTATGTAGTGCCACAGTCTGCATTAGGGTCAGATGATCATGACTGCAGAAACAGCTGCACTAGCAGAACTGACCATGCAAGCGTGCCCCACTCATCTCGTGCAGCCAGCCACGTCTGTGCACGCTGTCATCTGAAGATAAGCCGAACTACTCACTCATTTTTCACACCAAAGTTGTTAAGTTACATGATGACACATGCACAAAAGTCCACCAAAAACTACTGTGGGAAGCTAAAGTCTTAACTACCTAGTTTAAAAAACTCAGTGTTTTCTTTACAGAGAGGTCTGCAGAGTTTGCATGTACATTTTACATTTTTAGTGCATCTACATAGAGACACATGTATGTATACATAAACATCGACACACACGTCCTTAAAACAAGCCTGAGTTTCTAAAGTAATTACAAGCTATTTTCCTTAGACTCACCCTAACATACACCACACATAGCAAAAGACTATATACAATACATCAGAGAAGGTATGAAACAAGTTCCTTCCTAGTACAAAGGCACCCTCTAGAGTCTGATCAAAAAAAAGCCGAGTGCATTTACCCCTAACGAAAGCATCTTTGAGGTGTTAAAATTGTTTAAAAAAAAGCGGACTACTCACAAATATCAGTCCAGATATAAAAGACGAAGTCACTGTAAGGGCAAAGTAGAATTTTGGAGTCAAAGTGCTTAAGAACACAGTCACTGTTAAAGAGAAACAAAACAAAGCAGAACTGAAAAACACAAATAGCTTTTCATTAAACAATGCCAAATGAAATATGTAAATATAAAACACCACACAGCCCTAGTAACTTTACAGATGTTACTTTGTTAGAGAATCCTTCTTTCTGTGTACTATTTTCTGTCTGTAACCATCTGTGACAGTGAATTAGGTTACATACCCAATCTAAAAAAGTCAGTGTAAATTCTTGGACAAAGCAGCCTACGGTTTCAGCTACATCATGGCTGGTGGACCACAAGACGCCAACTAAATGTATTATTTAAATTTAATCTAAAAGGGAAACGTCCACTAGTTGAAGCAAGTTTCTGCTCACTATTAGGAACTTCGGCCGGAGGCAAAGCGAGGGGGCGTGGGC